TTCCTTGTGTGCCGAACTTGTCCCTTTAGCATCGTCTGTCCCAATGTCGCAGGCCAAGCCACCTTCTGCCACGCGCTGGCCTGGCGCAACATGGAAGTTGCTGAATTCGAGCTACCTGTGCCGTGCCAAAATAAATGCAATGGCCTGTCCTGGAACGAAGGTGCCCATCGGTCTCACGTCCCCAGGGTTTATGAGCTGGTTCACATCGGGCACACCGGCACCGAACACTGTCACGATCTGCTTCTGTGCGTCCTGAACCAAGGAGGCAAAGGCAAAGAGAGGAACTCCATAGAACCTTGAACCCTAAAGCCCCATAAACCCTTTAAGCCCGAAACCCCAAAACCCTGAAACCCCCTAACACAACTAGCGTGCAACCATGGTGCCGCCGGATCCTTCGGCGGGAATGCCAGAAGAAGATTCTCTGGCGGCCCACTGGCGCTTGTCCTCCCGAGAAGCTTGCGGTGCTGTCCGGATATCCGTAGGGCTTGTTTTTCCGAATACAGCTGTCCACCTTACAATCAAGGTATCCGTAGGGCTTAGGGTGCAGAAGGTATAGGCAGGGGGTTAACGGTATCAAACCCTGAAAAACCCTTACGAGTGTATGAAACCTGCTCAGATCCTCTCCTAAAGGCTATTTATATAGAGCATTAAGATTCTCCAAGGCCACCTTTACGACCAGATCGGTTGTGGCGACGTTTATTGAGTTTATTGCCTAAATATTGTTGTTCGCACTGCTGCGAGTATCAACCACTACTTTCACTGTATCGCACGTGGTTCTATTGTTCTGCGTGCAGCCAGAAAGCATGATGTCTTGCAACGGCTTGCAAAGCTCAATCTGCTTGATGAAGCGCACGGTCACTCTCAGGTTGCGGTTCAGGCCGGGGAAGGCTGATGTGCCTCGCAGCATCGTTCGACTGGACTCTCTTTTCGCCAGAGGATGAGAATCGAATCTCTTTTGGCCCTCCGAATTTCGATCAAGGCGGTCGCCCAACACAAAAAACTCAAGCACTTATTATGTAAAGCCCGGAGCCTTCGGACCAGAACTCCAGTTCTGTGCGGCTTGCTACTACTCTTCCTGTTGCCTACCTTTGATCCCCCCTTCTACTCTTTCCGGGGCCATTCTTTGAGGATGTTTGCAAGGCAACAGTCTGCTAACTTCACCTCATCCGACTGCTCATGCCATCAATAATTATGGCTTTAGCGGTACAATATGCACTAGAATCGACAATAGTATGCTGTTGCTCCGTTTCTCATCACTTTGAGTTCTACAGAAGTTCTTGTCTTCTCCCTTTGGACTGTCGGGCCTCGCAACACTCGTCAGTGCAGCCACCGAAAGCAAGAACATTCCAATATCTTACAATCGCAAAGGCCCAACTCCGAATCATCAGCACCATAACCTGAATGATAGCATCCCACATCAATCAACATGCATCACGAGGAGTGACAAGCATGAATCCGCTAGTGAAGCAGCCACTACCAAACCTCTTCTGACCAATTCATCCGAGCATGAAGCTGTCAAAGCTCGAGTTCAGGCACCTCTACCTTCCAGGAGCTGCAGGAGCTGGGGCGCGTGCTCCTGGGCTCAGCTCGGAGGGGCTCAGGAGCCACGCAAAGCACGAGTTTTGTTGACTGGGCTTCGGGCTGAAGATCCTGCGACGCTGTCGAGAAAAACCGGCGCGCGCTTAGTGCTTTTTTGGAGGTTTGGAGGTGTGGGAGGCTGAACCGAGCGAGGGGTTTGGCTTCCCTGGCCCAGGCATCTACACCCCCAACACACCTTCTAACCGGTGCCTTCCTGGCGTCTTTCTCTGTCTTCTTCCATGTTCTTCGAAAAGGCAAAGCCGTGAAGCAAAGGATTGTGCGAAAACATGGCCCAGGAATAGCAGAGTCTAGATCAAGGAGCAACAGGACGGTCAGTTCCAGCTGAATCTGTCTAGCCTGCTCGCCGAAAGACCTTCACCCGCTTGACATCCGACTATGCCTATGCAGACATGGGGCAGGGGGGTCAGCTCACTCAATTTTGCCAGGCTTGTAGCAGTGTAGGTGATGGCTAGACAGGGGGAGAAAAGCAATTCCTGACGTGCTCTTCTGCAGCTCAGGGCTCCGCCAGTGAAATGCCCCACAGGCGTTCGAGCCCCATGAGAGCAGCAGTCTTCATTGCTGTCGACATGGTGCTGCGAACTTCGTAGAGACTTCCATGGAGAAGCCTGGGTGCGAGCTTGCACAAGGATCGGCCACTTCAGCTCGCACGCCGACGTCTTTCCATCGACCAGAATGCACATTTTGCATCAGGTTGCTCGAAGTCATAGTGAACAAACGGCGGAAGGACAACCTCCTCCAATCCAGTGGCGAAATCATTCTACATCGGCGGGTGACACCGACATGCGTACTATCATCGGAAACGTTGAAAACATGAAGATGTGATCATGCGAGGATTGATGGCGCAGGACCATCGCGCCTTCTCAACATCCGCAGCCATTCCCGAATTGAAAAACTGAACTGGAAAAGCCCACGTGCTGCTGGCAGCATTGAACCGTGCGACATAGATCAAGACATGTGACCTCGTCACGAGACTGCGCTCAGGTCCAGGTCAAAGTCCCTCAAGCCCTCAATCCTTACAAGGAAGGCTCTGTCAGAAGCCAAGCGGCTCTTGCCAGGCCAGGGAAGCAACACTTTGGTTGCCGGTGTTCTCCACGGCATAGAAATCCAGCACCCACAGTACCTTACCGAAAAATGGGAAGCCCTTGGCTCAGCCAGCTCACCAGAATACACAAGCGCCGACAGGTGGCACCCTCCATACTGCGGGAGAACGAATTAAAGGACCACGTGTAGGCCGCTGTGTGCTCATCGATCCTGTTTGGAACCCATATTCCACGGAAGATGAGGGGACAGTTGTCCGCGACTTCCTGTCAAGCCGCGCCGAAGATGAGTCGTGGCATGCAAAAGCAGCTAAATCGAGAAGCTTCGCTGCAGAAGCACGAGTACTTCAAGAATTGGCCTTCACTTCAAACTGGTGCTCCCCGGTGAGCCGCGCCGTCGCCGAAAGAGCATCCAGACTTTGGGCTCCTGCAATGATTGCCTTCATTGCACTGGCCTGACCCTGAACCTGAACCCATCTAAACCCCAAACCCTGAAGCAATCTTTCCGCCAGACTTCGGCTAAGCTCCGGCGCTGCAGGTTTGCGCATGCCCGGCATCCCGACCCCAATCCCCAAAACCCATCAACCCTGAACCCTCAGCATTAAGGTTTACCAACTCTGAAAGCGCCATCGCAATAGGCTCTGAAATGGACTGAAACTGAAACCCTAAGCCCCTAAACCCCTAAGCCTCGAACCCTAAACCCTAAACCCTCAGACCCCCTAAACTCTATACGTATACCGTATACATCGAAACCTTATTCTGTTTTGAAACCCTAAATCAAATAAGACCCCTAGCACCGAAAGCTGACCATCCAAGACCCTGAACTCGAGACCCTGGGACGAGTCCTGTCCCGCCCCGCTTTCCGGTGAGCCGCGCTGAGTGTAGCGCTTGGAGCCCCGCCATCAAGCCGTAGACCAACACCGAATAAGGACAACCTGAGAGGTGCTTCCTAGTGCTTACTATACCAGCCAGACTAGTACACATATACATATGCTTATGCATCTACATGTGTGTATACATGCATGTATGTGTGTGTGTGTATATATATATATACATACGTGTGTGGCTACAGCAATTGTACCGTTATACATACCTACATACATACATACATACATACATACATACGTACATACGTACATACATACATACATACATACATACATACATACATACATACAACCATACCATGCCATACCATGCCATGCCATGCCATACCATACCAGACACAAACTTAAATTGCCATAATGAGGAACCTCTAATAAGTACGACCTATGCCTATGGAGGCATTAAGTTCCTTAGCACGAGCCCAGGAGCCATCTGCGTCAAGCACCTTCCGGACGTTAGACACCTGGGACATCAGCTGAAAGCAGAATCCGGGACCACGGAGACAAGAATTAGGAACACATTGCCAGGACTGCTCGAGACAAGCAGCAGACACCTCACCCGCAATTGCGGGGTCGGCCAGAGATCTCATGCGACGAATTAGCTCGTAGAGATGAGGGCTATCGGCCAAGTACAATCGAAGCGGCAAGCCAACAAAGAGCAGTCCTGAGTTGCCGAGGTGCGCAGTCAACCAGCAGCAACATAAGTCACTGGCATGACTGAAATAGAATCATGAAGCAAAGCATGCCGTCGGCATGATTGCGGGCACACACGGTTTGCAGTCAGGGGCAGGGTAATCCCTTGCAAACTTTAGCCATACGCATTTCTTTGCCAAATTCTGCTGGAGTATCCTAGCCAGTGTATTTCTTCAGCTGTGGTGATGCCCTACGTAGTGACTCTCGCCGCGGAACCCTTCGCTCTGCGATGTTCCTAGACGGAAAATCAGGTGAGCGGAACTGCTCGCGCCGAGGAATGGTCGGGGCCGGTTGTCTGTCTGACACATATGCTCCGACAACAAGTTGTTCGTTCTGTCGTCAAGAGGATACAGGCTTGTTGAGACTTCGCGGGTACATTAACGGTGCTGACCCCAACTGCAGCCCTTCGTCCTGCGAGAGCCGCGAAATGCAGGAATACAGTACTGTTAGAACTTTGTTTTGTAGTGCTCTGGGAGCGCCATTCTGCAGACTCGTGCTTGCATGAGTACAGCTGCAGCCGGACTGTGTGACTACTCCCCCTTAATGCATGCCGGCCGGCCCTAGAAGTAAGATCGAAAGATCAGGAACTTGAACAAATCTTGAGAAGTCAGTCCAAGCTTCCACGCTTCATGTGCATGAAACCATCAAAGGGCGGGTTTTCCGTGGCTCCGAGCTCTCGGGCCATAGCGGCTGTGCTTTCTTGGAAAGCACCCGGCCTGCTCAGTGCTCGACACTCCCGTCATTGATACCGCGGAAAGTCTCTATGTATGCGTCGCAGAGAGCATACTGTTATTTCATTCCTCATTGACTATCTGTTCTTTCCGCTGCTGCGATGACACTGTCTTCGCGAAACATACGACAAGCGATCGTGCCATGTCTTACTTCGAGCACGGCTGGGCGAGTTCTAGAATTTCGGGAACGATTCGTTGGTCTTTCATAGTCCTCTGCGGAAGAAGCCAACCCGATCTTCAGAGCATTCAAGAACAGCAACACACAGTCACAATAGCAGAACATCAACATTCCTGTGTGTGTCTCTGTCTGTGTGTGTGTGTCTACATACACATCTATACATATATATGTATATATACATTAGGCGTACATCGGACATGTACACACATGCACGCACACATAGACAAACAGAAAAACATGTGTATATATATATATGTGTATGCATGTACATTTACAGGCTCCTAAACCCTAAGCCCTAAACTCTAAACCGCATAGGTCTAAAGCTCAAAGCCTGCTCCTCCAATTGCGCTCGATCGTGGCGGTCGGGATTTTGGGAGGGCCGAGGTCTCGGACTAAGGGTTACGGATTAGGGCTTAGGGTTTAGGGCTTAGGGCTTACGGATTAGGGTTT